TATGGAGGATGATCAAGGACTGTGATCCCTTTTCTGGACAAAAAAATCGCGCCGCACGATCTTCGATTTGTGGGGTGGGGCATTGTCATGGAGGAGCGACCAGCAACCTTGCTCTCGATATTCAGGTCGAATTCGAAGAATTCTCGCCCACAGAAGATTCAAGACTCCGAGATAATAATCAGAATTCGCTGTTTGACCTTCTGGCAGAAATTCCTTGTGAATGATTCCTTTGGAATCGAAGAAAACGGTTAGCAGTGTCTTTACTCGACTCTTCTGCATGCGCACTTTCTTTGGTTTCGGCTTCTTTGGCCTCAACCACGCTGCACTCTGCCGCTTTGAGAGGCCCATATTGAAAACACCATGTCTCGTCACCAGTAACAATCGATTTTGTAAATTTTGTATCACTTTGGGCCGACCGTAACATGTCTTTGCAGTGTTCCACTCTGGCATGTTTTTCATCGCCTGACAGCATGTGCGGTACAAACCATGCACAGACCTTCTGTCTGCCCAAATCCTTTGTCAAAATTTGATGCATAGTACTTTTTGGTATTACCAAAAGCTCCTCAATGAGTCTTGCAGAAACATATCTGTCTGATGCAAGGACTTCAGTCACTTTTTTTCACATTTTCTTCAGTGTGACTTGTTCTCGGCTTTGATGCACATGGAGCATCTTCAATGTCCTCCCTGCCATCACGAAATACAGCATACCATCGAAAAATGTTCGAGCGACTCAAAAAATCACTACTGTACACACTTTTGATCATTTTGTATGCTCCTCCAGCTGCTTTGCCTAACTGCAAACAAATTTTGATGTTCGCGCTCTGTTCAACTGCCATTTTCAGATGAGCGTCACAACAGTACTGTTACATTCAAGGTCAGAACACATGATGCAGCGATGCTTGCGCTCTGAAATTACAGACAGCCACAGCTGAAACTTCAAGAATCTTAATGCCGCAACTCGCCAACAGATGGCATTGCAGGGCAAAATTAAAAAAAAAATAGTCGTAGTGGATCCGGGACACACCGTGTAAACCAAACACAATACAAACCATCTGTGAGAGCTAAGAAAATATCCAATTATTTAAACTCCACACGCATGAGGCCTTGCACCAGAGACGTATCTTGAGTGAAATCATCGCTGGAAAGAAGCAATACTTATGGTATCAACACAAGAGAGGAAACCCCACCCGCCCTCCTGCCACTCCAGCTACACTTGACGGCATTGTAGTCTCTTGACTTCTGCTGTAATGACAGGGGTCCAGATATCCACACTTGGTTGACTGACTGGATGGTCCAGCAGACTGGCATAGGTGTCCGGAGATAGGGACTAGCTCTATCTATTGGCCACAACTGAGTAGGTTTTACCTGAACACGCAGACAGGATCCAGTCTCCAAAACGTTGTGTTTTGAAAAATAAACATGATGGTTTTTAAATACAGAGAAGACGATGAATAATGCCCAAAAACACGATACTTATAGCAAAGTACTATCATCATAACTTTTAGATCTTATTTCCAATGTTATAGTCGAACAATACCTTGGCCGTTGCATGTGCATCTGTTGCTGCAAGAACCTGTTTACTGAGCAGCAGCCTAGTGGTAGCCTTGGTATTGTTCACCAACCGTTACTTACAAATGGGTTTTTGTTCACCTGTCTATTGCACAGCAAGGCTGTACTCCTCCGTTTTGAGGTCTCTGTCCATCAAACAGGTCTATATGCCACACTATTTTAATATGGTTCAAACAATTTAAACTTAATATTCATAACTCATTTTAACTGTATTAACTATTTATTCTTAACTTCTCTAATTACAGTTAAGCCCCTCTATGATATTACAGTAACAATCTAAACTCAACATCATCACATGTAAAGGAATTCCTTTACAATGTTGACTGCACCTTCTGATGATGGCCAGTAAAGCTAAAACACGTAAGAGCAAAACTTGTACTTACTCGTATTAAAGCAGTTACACTTAGAAGGCTTCTTCTACTTATTTATGTAAAAAGCACAGCACCCCAAAATTTAAAAATGTGTAGTGCTTTGTGCTGATCATCTAACTGGCAAAGACTATTAACAAATCCTGTGGACTGGGACAGAACGACATACACACCCTTCCATACAGTGTATTAAAAGTAGACACTGGTCTACTCTAATTTGGAGTACGCAGAATTACAAATGTGCCTATGATTTTACTATCTCTGTTCCTAGTTTGAATGATGGAATAAAGAAATCAAACTTTTAAGGCATTTTACAGGGATAAACATGCATCCACATGTTTCTTCAATTGAAAATGTTCTGGAAATACTACATTTAGGGAGCTATTTTTGGAAGATGTGATGAAGTTGTATTCAGGGCTTATGCAAAATAATTTGGGACTAATATGATATTTTCTAAATAACTCTTTATTCAAAATCTGTTTGCAGATGAAACACTTCAGGCAAATGGATGGATGAGCAGGCATGACTCCCCCTATGAATGCTTATTTCATATACTTAAGACAAAGAATTATAAAAATTGTTCTTACTACTTCTTACTATATTCTTCTTTCGTGCAGCTGCTAACTATGCAGTGGATGAAGACTGCTATTTGTGACACCAGGAATATTTGTTATGGTGGCCAAATCATGCTTTCAAACCAATTAGGTCATTGTAATTGGTCAAATTTTCATATCTGACCTTTATCAGTTGTGCTGCATTACTACAATGGTGTGTGTCCAACACCACAGATGAGAGAGTTAAAATCCTGTTTCCAAATTATACACTGTTAACTCCCAAGCTAAAACCTAACACTAATATCCATTCCTTGATAATAATAATAATAATAATAATAATTAATCTGTTTTAATTTTGCATTGAGTTAAATGTCAATCTGAGATGACTTATTCAGGTTTATAAATTCAAGGAAGAAGGATCTTCTTGAGATATTTCTGTAAGTCTTGGGCCTAGAAAATATTTCAGTTTGTGCTAAAACTGAAGTCAGGAATACTGCCAAGACTTCCCATAGAACTTACATTAACCCATACCCCCAAAATTAGTGAATTTAGGGCAATTTACCACAAGCTGTGTGTGAATCTCCAATGACATAAGCAAATGTATTAATTCACTGAAGAAGATCTTAGTATGGGTCTTGGGCCCTGATAATAGTTCAGTCTGCATTAGAACTACATCACAAGAAACTGTTTACCCCTTCCCCCCAAGTAGCAGAAGTTTGTTTGTTTATTTAACTGATAAGTGGTAGATTCATCACACTGCTATGCAAATGAGTAATCAATTAACATAAAACATATTAATTTTCCAATTAAGAGCATGTGAGCAGAAAAATCTGAAGTTCCTTGCTAACAATCTTGTTAACTAATTACAGAAGGATGTGAGGTAAATGAAAAACTCTTTATTACTGAATTCTACAGAAAACATGAGGCTGCTTTCTTATGAACACATTCATGCTTCCCACTGAACAGAGCTAGGTGTGCTGTGAAGCATTTCATCCAAGTGTGATATATGAGGAGCGTTCTGTATATAATGCCTCCTAGTTTTTTAAAGAAACTACAACAGATACAGAAAGCATAATAATGCAGTTAAATAGAGCAGGATTTCAGCTACTTACAGTTATTTTTCCACATAATCATCACCATTAGTTATGCACTTTTGGCAGCGATTAACAAGAGCCTGTATGCTGCGCCCGTAAAAGTCTGGGCCAGCAGAGGCTTGCCACTTTCTTACAGCTGCACTGACAGCAACATTGTCTGGAAAGTGTTGCCCAAGTAGTCCATCTTTCATAGGCCCAAAGAGATTGAAGTCTGAAGGTGTTAAACCGGGGCTATAAGGTGGATGTTGTAGGACAGTCCAGCCAAATTTTACAATGTGCGTGGTGGTTGCCAAACTTGTATGGGGTCTAGTGTTATCGTGTTGCAAGCGAGAGGTTGTCTGCTTCTTTGGCCTGACTCGGGAAATGCGGGCTTTCAGCTTAGTCAGCATCGTTTTGTAGCGTTCAGAATTGACAGTCCCTGGTCGTTATCTGCTATCTGTACGGATCATTGTGAGGAGTGGCAGCTGAGCATGGACGCCCAGGGCGTGGCTNAGCTGCACTGACAGCAACATTGTCTGGAAAGTGTTGCCCAAGTAGTCCATCTTTCATAGGCCCAAAGAGATTGAAGTCTGAAGGTGTTAAACCGGGGCTATAAGGTGGATGTTGTAGGACAGTCCAGCCAAATTTTACAATGTGCGTGGTGGTTGCCAAACTTGTATGGGGTCTAGTGTTATCGTGTTGCAAGCGAGAGGTTGTCTGCTTCTTTGGCCTGACTCGGGAAATGCGGGCTTTCAGCTTAGTCAGCATCGTTTTGTAGCGTTCAGAATTGACAGTCCCTGGTCGTTATCTGCTATCTGTACGGATCATTGTGAGGAGTGGCAGCTGAGCATGGACGCCCAGGGCGTGGCTTGTCGTGCACTTCACTTTCGCCACTACCCACCGCCTCACTGTGCTGACATCCACTGTATTGTCTCTGCACACCTTTAGCAAGTGTCGATGGATGTCAGTGGGTACAATTTGTTCGGCAGTGAGAAATTCAATAAATACATCTGTGTTTCATACACACTTCTACGTCAGACACCATTTTGGTAGACTGCTCTGCTGTCGCTATCTGTCGCATGACAACCAAACTAACAGTAGATTGGCGGGAAGGTTCAACCTTTACTACAACACCACCAACATCCATCTCAGACGTTACATATTAACACAAAAAATAGGAGGCATTATTTACGGAACGCCATACATATATTAGCATGTATGCCAGCAGCCTAATGCCATGCATTAGCATTCACAAGCTATGTCTCTTGTCTGTCTGCCCAACATATCTAATATTCATTCACAGCTTCCTGCTTCCAATCTATATTACTGAATTAATTTCTGATGTCCAAAACAGAAGTACCTTGTCTGTGAGGAGGACCCTCCAGCTAGAAATTACTTCTTATTTTACTTCCTGCTGACTGATATGTGTACCATACCTGTGAATCATTGGCTAGCACAGTGGATGTGGCACGAACTTCTTGAGTTACCACTCGCTGCTCCTGCCGAGTGGCACTAGTTGTCATCGTTGTAGCCACTGTCTTCTCTTCAACCTGTATTCATCACCACCAACGCATAACACATAACACCTATTACACTTTATACTGACAACACTACACATCTGTTAATGATCTGAGGTAGGAAGTAGCACGTGCTTCATAATTACCTTTACATATACAGCGAAACACAGTACACAGAGTAATTATGTTAGAATGATTCAATTGCATACAGAAGGCGATAACACTTTAGAATTCCACGACAAAATTACAGATGCTGAAATAAGAGAAACATACAGTAAACTCCCTGTTGTCCAGTTATAACTCTTGCCCAATCAGCAAAAATTAAAAGAAAATTTACCATTTTTATAAAGTTATTCAAGAACACATTTTCTTGCGTGCATGTCCACCTTCTACACGCTAGTTCTCCTGGCCAGCACTAACAGCACTACCCATCATCCTGCCCCATGCAGGTGCCATTACAGTAGAGGCTAGATGAACCTGTGGTCACATTACATATATGCATCTAGACTCTTTCCCCCACGAACCTGCTAAGTAGTCTAGGAAGTCTGCCACACATGATCTAAAGTGAAAATGTGTTTTGTCATTATATTGGGTTTCTGCAAGAGTTACTGTCATGCCTCATTCCTCACACGGTACTATGTTATGTCACAAGCATGATTATAGGAGAAGTTTTGTTATTTTGCATGAATTTTAAAAGAGAGGTAAACTGTATTAAGATAACAATTATAATACAATGTACCTGGCTTGTCTTTGCATTCTTCTCTTTGTCTTCATGTGTTGTAGCTGTCCTGGTTGTTACTGCAGTAGCTGTTACATATGGAGAGCGGCCATCATCCACACCTTCTGCCTGAGATGGCAATATAATACCATATGCTAAATTTTATAACCTACTCTTGAAATATTTAAATTTTACTGCTATTCATATCTAAGCATAAAGGGAGTACAATGTTTAAAATTAATGTTTAAGTTTTCAAAGTTCAAGGAACTCTGACGCTTTAGTATGCAAGCGAACTATACTGACTGAGTGGCCGCCACTTGTTGGCGAAGTTAGTGCCAACTTTAGTGGATTAGAGGGTGTTGAGTGGTCAGAGCAACAAATCCCCATAGCCGTTAATTTCGGTTTTCTAGACCAGAGCCACTACTTTTCCATTCAAGTGGCTCCTCAATTACCCTCATGAGGCTGAGTGGACACTGTTCCAGACCCACTTATTCTCAGAAAATTTGGTAGGGCCAGGAATCGAACCCGGACCTCTGACCACTAGAACACAGAGGCATAAGAAATGTGTGTGCATATCACAATTACTATGCCTGCCTTTTTTTTATATCATTCTCAGTTCTGTGGTAGAAGACGACGATAAAAGGCTAGCAAGATAATTACAAAATTTAAATTCAAGCCTACTTAACAACTTTTAAATGCAAAATTTAAATACTTTTTCTATCAAAGCAAATGGCATATCAGCAGGAATCTGATTCAATAAAATACAGACCTACTTCTTCTCAGAAAATCTTGTAGGGCCGGGAATCGAACCCAGACCTCTGACCACTAGACCACAGAGGCGTAAGAAGTGTGTGCATATCACAATTACTATGCCTGCCTTTTTTTTATATCATTCTCAGTTCTGTGGTAGAAGAGGATGATAAAAGGCTAGCAAGATAATTACAGAATTTAAATTCAAACCTACTTAACAACAACTTATAAATGCAAAATTTAAACACATTTTTTATCAAAGCAAATGGCATATCAGTAGCAATTTGATTCAATAAAATACATAAAGTTGATCAATAAGAATACATCTACCAGCCATGCACTGTAATCAGAATATGATTTGAAAATTTACTGAAATCTTCAGCCTGCTGATTTAAATCCCAAAGACAAAGTTCAAATTGAACAGCTTCATAACAATGTAGATGATTATCAAACATTTATTACCTGACACAAGTAAAGAATGATGCACTCAATATGCCATAACATGCTGAAGTATCTGTATCAACGAACTACTTTCTGATGGAGAATCACAAGATCTGAATTTATGTCAACATATCTGCTACAAAATATTTACAAAGCAGTAAAAAATATAAAACAAGCACATGCATGGTCAGGACAGAACATGTTCTACAGAGAAACTAACCTGATCTTTTAAGAAAATTTGAGTAATGCGATTTAACCAAGCCGGTGAAGATCTTAATACCCTTTGTAAAACATAATGCCGAATGTTTAGATTCCTTCCTTGAACAACTTCAGGTCATGCCATATCAAATCAAGACAGTTTGTGAATAAGATTTTCATTACCACCTCTGATTCTAGTAAATTTCTGAGGTCTTGCTGGGTCTCCTTAGGAAGTGACATATATGAAATTTTACCTTTTTGTGTCCATTAATTGCAGACACACAGCATAATGAAACTTTTCCTTAACTTTCCCCACACTGATTCACTCTGGTCCTAATTAAGATAGAGAGCTCATTAGTGCATTAACTGACAGCTCTTTAGTCAGGCTTTGATTTGGTATGCTACTCACAATATTTTAGGGTACATCAACATTTTGACTTTGACCTCTGACCTTAGATTATTGAAAAAAAATCATACAGCCAGAATTATGTAAGTTTTCCCAAAACATCTAGTGATCATTTCGGTACGTTTTTTGAAACCATCATGTTGAGACATGGAAGTGAACAGGTCATACAATATTGTGTCAGTGGTCTCATTAGGTGTTGTAAGTTCTCAATACTGAAAAAGAAACAAATATCACAATACAGTAGACACTGTCCACTGAATTAAGAAGGCTACTCAGATCAGGCTTCAACCCAGAAACTTCAACAAGGACTCTGGTTTTCATTGCAATCAGTCCTGCTACCTGGTGACTAATATGACAAATCAGCACTTAGGCAAACCAATGTGGAGAGACCAAGACAAGCAAACTTATGACTCTGGCCCCTAGCACCACATGGCTCATGCTCAGTTCTGATCACAGGCCATGGGTTGGTATGCCAATGGGACAGTTTAGATCTTATGTCACATCAGAGTTGGATGATGGGGATGGGACAGACGGTCCCTGACACATTGGCAATTTTTAACAAAGTCTCATGGCTGACAGCCCAAAAAGATTTCATTAGTCACTTGCATGCTCACAGAAAATGATACAAAAAACACAATCAGCATGTGTATTGTATTAATAGTTTCATATTCAATTATTAATAAAATATTTAAATACGTATATACTGGTAATGTTACTGCATGGAGACAATGTGGTTAAGTTTGTCCTGAAGTAAATAAACTAGCTACAAAGTTTAAAATAATTTTAATAAGAAAGACAATGTCAAACTCAAACTTTTGCTAGGAGTGGTAGTGACAATTACCGATATGAAACAGAGATGCTGTATTACTTTCTCATTTGGGATCTGCTAGTAGCCTTGTATAATTTTTCTGTGTTCATAAAAATCTTTGTATCTGTGATTAAAATTTAGTGTAATTGGAAGTTCACATTCAATTAAATTTTGTGAACATATATTTCTACTTTCACTCCATTTGTTGTGCATCACGAAAAACACTCTTTCGACAGAAGTGCTGAATCCTGCAATGCTAAGAATATTGGATACTAGTTTGAATATATTTAGGACTTCCTTCATAGGCCCCAATTTCCTATAAACATTCAACCACTTCTGCCATACATCACAGAGAATATTACCATTACTGATTTCTACAAGAACTAAGCACTTACAGAACTTCTCATAAAAATCAGTAACTCAAATGCTGCACAAATATCATTAGGATTTAAATTAAAGTTAACTTAAGATGTGCCTCACATTATGGAAGCGTAAAGCAAGTTCACTTGCTACAACAGCCTGTTCTTCACTACTTCCTTCTTTTGCAAAGAAAAAGTAACACCATTGCTTTCAAAAGTTTGTACAATTATCAGCATCATACCGTTATGTCACACAGTTGAAGCATATGGTTTCACATTGCTTTCACTGTGATGTGCAATCAAAAATTCTCTTACAATGAACATGATTCACTTCCATGTGATTATTACTTACACTCTTCTGACATGGAAACTGTTCTTCCTACTCATTTAAGCACACAGTCTTTTCTCCTTTCTCTTGGAGGAGAATCCTCCATGTTTGGAACAATGAATGATGTTCTCTCTATACTGTATGCAAACAAACTACAGTGTGTTTTCTTCCACAAATACAAAGCAAATTGAAGTGGAAACAAATAGCATGACTTATTGTCATGCCTCAAAGTCTGCACCTTGGTTGCAATTGTATGCAATGCTGCTAAGTGCTAAAACTGAAATCCATTCCAAGCTCTGTCTTGAAAAGTTAATTCTGACTATAATGCAAGTATGGGATTTCTGATGTCCTGTATAAATTGATGGAACACAGTTTTAATATAAAAAATACAATTCCTGCCAACCCTATTGTGACCTATACAGACACCCCACAGTGCATCATGACCCTTCCAGACTTTCAGTTCATACCTGATAACAGTACAACTGAGCTGTATTCACCATATCTGGCAGATTCTCTAGTGGTATCGCCAAGAGCAAAGTAATTTGTATTTATATTAAGTTCTAAATTGTCACATTTGAAAAGAGCGTTTTAATCCTGTGAATATCTGTCACAGTGCAAGTTCCAAGAGATACCAAACCTGAGACCTAAGTTGGACTGAACAGCACAAAAAAGTTCCTAGTATTCAGAAAGGTCAGAGAATCCATAACAAATGCATGAAGTTATGGAAAATATGCCTGAAAGTTGTGAAAAAGAATCACGTGCCTCTTCAAGTTCAGAATACAGTATAAAGACTTGCACAGTTCAAAAGTTGGCATACCCAACTCTGCTTCTCCCTTGAACAAGGATCTGGAGTCATTAGAAGAGTCACCACTTTCCACAACAAAGCTGTTGGAAGTGAAGCATCCAACTAAAGAATCCAGAAAAATCGAAGTCATGGAAAGAAAAATATTCAATTTAACAGACCCCAGTGATAGTGACAGTTCATGCAATGGCAAAATGATAGCACAATTGAACAGAAGATTTCATGTAACAGGGAGAAAGATTGAAAACTTTTAGATTTGGAAGGTTCTTCCAAACAGCTGTTCAAGTAAGAAAATCCAACGAGAGTTGAAACCTCACATTACACAGTTCAGACTGCTAAGAAATGAATGGCTGAGAAACAAATGTTGTCAAGCCAAAATGTAAAATCAGGTTATGTGCTGCCTCCTGCAGTAGCTTAAATGGTGAAGCAATTTTATATATCTGATGAAATAAGCAGAATCACATCAGGGACAAAAAATATGTTTCTGAAGATTCATCTTCAGAAATGACTGGCACTGTTTAACCTATGAAAAGCCTACTAAAGGTTTAGGGAAGAGAATCTTAGTAAGCTGCTACGCTTTCCAAAGTCTGCAGTTATATTCAAAAAACTTTGTGCATTGGCTGAAGCATGTGTACCATTTTTGCAAATGTCAAACACTATAGGATTTATGTCCACGATTTATTCTGACCGTCTTACAGTGCATACATTTATTCACCTTACCCTTCTCTCTTGCACTACATGTTTCAGCACTAAAGTGCCATCTTCAGGTGCTTTTCGATGTATGTCGAACTTCTTCATTGCATGCCCTATTGTCTTTATACTAAAATAGGACACTAAAATATAACACTATAGGATTTTACTAAATAGCAATGTAAAATCTTATGTTTGTCCAAAAATATCTGTGGTGTGCTAAGTGTAAGGTGCTACCAGGGAGACTGTTAGATGTGTTTGGGATCTGAGAACCCAATCAAAAATACTGACTGGAGATCTGAAGACAAGAATATAATGTATAGACAGTGGATGACTACTAACAGATCAACTCTGAAAACAACTGTGCAATCTTGCAGTGACTTTGTGTCTGTAGAAAAGTTTTAACATCCTGCTTCACCACTCTTTTATGGCATCATACCAATTGTGTTTCTATAAGAACTGAAGCAAATATTGCAGCTTTCTTTCTGGTAAATCAAAAGATTTTGCTAAAATTTACTCTTTTTCTTTGTTGCTGCCTTGCAATATATAAACAGGAAAAACCACATCAACTTCTGCTATCATACAGATGTTCCTGGTAAGGACCGTGAGGGGCATATCTTTGCAACCCAACACAGCCAAGGTATGTATTATGGCCCCTTATGAGGGGGAGATCATTACACAAAGACAAATTTTACAAGTGGGCTCCCGTAAAGACTCCCTCAGTCACCTTCAATACTGTACTGCTGAAGACCACAGCAAATAAACAATGTTTCACAAGATGTTCAGGGAAGTTCAAACACTTCTGGATGCTCAAAAAATATACTATGTCATTCCTGTGCCAAAAAACCTAAGTTCAGTTGAAAGCTTTTTTTCCAGACGTAAACATACACTATACACACAGTATACTTTCATGACAAGTATAAAATGGAAGACACTGGAGGATCTGTAATTTGTGAATATGACAAAAAAGTGGTTGCTTGCACATGTGTTAACTGAAATCCAATTAACATTTTTGCATTCCTCTCACACCAGTAATTCTTTCATGTATCCTTCATGTAAGTCAAACACTTTGTGAGTTCTGACTTAAAAAGTGCTTATACAAGTGGATCATGAAAACGCGATGGCTTGCACATGTTATCAATGAAAAGGAATCCTGCTGCACAACTAATAAAATAGAAATGAGGGTTCCACAGACTGTAAATAGATACTCTTACAGATAGTATTTCATTTTTAATGAAAAACCAATTTTCATATATCAGTGAATAAGTCCACGTGGTTTCTTTTTTGCATTTCTTATTGTTGTATTATCTGTGTAGCTTAGCATAATCTTGAATCCAAGTGACCAACAACAATAAGCATGTGACATGCATCTCATCAACCCATTCACGTTCCAACATGAAATTTTCCAAAAATGTACTCAAAGAATCAAGAATTCCAAAAATCTGCCTACAAGGTTTTCCATAAATTGAGGTCAAAGTCAGGGTCAAAACATTAATGTGCCATAAAATATTGCGAGTGGAATATCAAATACCAGAGTTATAGGCACTGTAATGGATCATGGGTGAGAAAAGTTAAGGAAAATTTAAGAGCTTCAAAATGCAGTAATTTTGCAATTAATGGACACATCACATTTATCACTTACTTATCAAACACTGTAACCTATAAAATTTCACTGAAATTCAAGGTGGTCATGTCAACTGTTATGCTGATTTGACATGGAATAACCACTTCCTTTAATGTATGCCCCCCACCCCCCCATGAGACTCAGTGAAATCCCTATTTAAGATTTCTTTGAACACCAAAATTAGGACAATCGTTAAGCGGAAGCAATTTAACATCGAGATTACTGACTCAGGATCAGTGAAATTGAACATTAAATGAGGGAGAACCGTAAATCAAGAAATACTAAATAGGGAATCCACTGCATTAAATTTACCATACATCACCTTATTGACTTGTGTTGAGACTGTTATCGCTCCGGTACCTCCAGGCGTGAGATCTTCCACTTTCTCTTCGATGTTCTGTGTTACACCTTCCTTATCTTTCACTACCATCTGTTTAGTTGTCGTTTTAACAATTTTAGGAGCTGTTAACGCTGCAGGGGAACTCAAATCCTTAGATGAGTCTTTTCCTTTTCCAGACTTCTTTGGTGTTCTGGGAAACTTGAGCTTGGCTACACCCTGGAGTTCACGGACATGTTCTCCTTTTCCTTCGGCATAGTCAGAAAGATCATCACTACTAGAACCTTCTTCTCCATCACTTTCTGTACAGCTGTCGCCTCCAGCACCACTTCCATGTTTCTTCAGATTCTTGGATTTTGTTCCTGACACAACTGCAACTCCACCCATAGCAGCTGCATTAGCTGGTCTTGTTCCATCCTTATTACCATCACCAACAAATGGCTCACTAGATAAACCTCCTAACTGTCCATGAGCAAAGTAACCACCAAGCTGATTTTTCACCTTTTCATCCTCTGCACCTTGAGCTGGGTATCGCCCTGATTCATATGCAATGAATGCTGCACTAGAAGGTAATGCTCCTGAACCCTCATACTGCTCATTTCCAGTTCCATATGGGAATTTTCTACCACCTAAACCTTCATCATAACTAGCAATATTGTGAGAGGGATACTGTTCCAACTGGCCAGTTCCATAACTGTCCTGATCATAACCTGGTTGTGCGCATTTCTGTGACTGATGTGGGAGGATGGCACCACCTGAATGCATGTCCAAAGCCCTCCTTTCTCTTGAAGAAATGTTGCCTTCAGTACCATAATGTGACCCAGAGCCATGGCCAGTATTTGGAATATTTGAATCTGCCTTTGCTTGTTCCCTTCTGGCAGCAGATTCCACATAGTCTAAACCAGGGGTTCTGATGACTAATGGAGTCACACCATCTTTGCTAGCAGCATTCTTATCAGTTAAAAGTTTTCGTTTTTCAACAGATTCCACTACTTTTTGATCTTCACCTGGAGCATAATTGAATGCCAAGCCAGTAGCCCGTTTGCTGGATGTGGGCGATCGTTGCAATTCCGATATTTCCTCTCCTGTTCCTGCAAGAAGTTGATCTTGTCGATCACGTTCTTCATACGTAAATCCATGGCCTTGAGGTACAAACTTTCTTCCTGTTGGAGTGTTATCATCAGCATCATAGTCATACTCCCGGGTGTATCCTGGAAGCTGTGGAGAACCCTGTGGTGGCCCTCCTCCAAGTGGAGATACTTGACCTCCTGCAGGACTTGTTTCCTTATCACCGTCCTTCTTAGGAGAGGTTTGAGTTGAAGATATATCATTTTCACTTTCTTCAGCATCCTTTCCTTTCCCTTTCTTTTTATTTTTCTTGTCTTTCTTATCTTTATCAGAAGCTTTGCCATCCTTAGCCTTGTCTTTATCTTTGGATTTGTCCTTATCTTTATCCTTGTCCTTACCCTTTGGACTCTTGCTAAACAGGAAACCAGGGCTCTGGATTTCAGAAAAAAATACAGAAGTACACATGCAGAAATAAAAAAATAACATGCTTAAAAAGTACAAAATACTCTGTACTACACATAAAGTAACTGTAATAAGTGTTACTCTGTATTAACATGCACACTTCACTTCAGAACCAAATTGTGTTACTATAATTTCAGTTTACTATCATGTCATGGACAAAGGTGCATCTACCTCATGTTCTTACTGTATTTACCGATAGATAGAATACTCTAACTTTTTTCTGGGGGGGATTCTATTTTGGTCACATTTAAAAATTATGTTTAAAATGTCAAGGATTAGATCTATCATCATATGAGGTGAATGCCAAAGTGATAGCCATAGTGACAGTTCCACCATCCTGCTTTACGGTGGTCTTATTTGTCCCAGTGCTTATAAAGGAACATTAATTATGGAAAACTAACTCTTGTTGGTTAGATAATGAACAAGGACTATTTTAAAGTGCTAATGCAGAAGGTATCTGGAGTAACCAGAGAAAGTTTATTTGGTTAGTTTATGATACTGAGGATATACAGTATCTGTTGGCCCATGGCAGGACAGCAAATAATGATTTATGTCAGCTACATAAGACACTACCACAGCCTCTGGCTGTACACACACAGAAAAAAAACATGGGCTACCGCAGGAAGAAATATAAATACCTCTAGATGGTTAGTAACTTTCAAAAACAAGGGCTTTACGTGCCAGGACAACTCAATGTGTTGACCACCCTCAAAGAACATATGGGCACTGAGCAAAATGTCTACCAGAACTCAGAAAGGTGGCTTTCAAGATTTATCTGTATCAATATGAGAGCATGTTTTCTACCAGATTACTTGTAATTTTATATCTGGCATATGGACTACACAGAAAGTATATGAGGCACTGATTTTTGATAACATGATGTTGCATAAGGCAACCAGATGCATTCACAATATGGTTATTAAAAATGACAAAACAAAATCATGCATTCCAGACACATGTTACATATGCAACATACACAACTATCATATCCTAAGTTGATACACATTTTCCAAGAGAATGTATATACATGTACAGTATGTTTCATTTATCTTGAGCAGTTGAAATGAAAGAAAAAATGTTTTTGACATATGTTGTTTGGGTTTGAGGGGGATACATGGCAATTCAAAACTATTAACACACAGTATTATTCTGATTATAACTGAATACAACAATGCGCAACAAAGGTCATATATCTGAAATGCCAATATGAATAAATAAATTGGTATTTTGGACCAACAAAAGGTGCTTGAAGAGTTGATCATTAACCTTCAAATGCCGGGCTTTTGAAACAGTGGTAGCTTGAGCTGGGCAGAGTTTATTTAAATGCACATTCCTGTTTGGGTGCTTGCACTGCATTTGGAAATGCTGTATCTAATACAACTTTTATGATAAATGAATGGAATTAACTTTGTTTTTATCAGCAAGGAACACAGTGTCACATATTATAATGTAAGATTTGAAAACATGTACAAAAGAAATTATAAACAACTCTTAATTTTTTCTTGTAATTATGATGCATACTGTAAAAATAGTTTCCCACTTCTTCACATAGTAGTTCTGCATTATAAAATCACTCCTGCTTGTAAAACTTTAAATATTTACCCATTTTCTGGTGTCATAAAACAGCTGGCAGCACTAAGTCATTTGGTGCTCTACTGGCAAGTTTCAAGGTATCCCAGTCTTTTGACTAAAGGAAAGAAAAGTGAAAACATGGTCTTTCTAGAAAGGCTAGAGGGTATCTTCATTATTTCCTAATTCAGTGCCAAGCCCCGTCATTGTAGCTGCAAGAGAATACTGCCCTTTCTATGGTTGGAACCAAACGCTTGTATTGCAGCTGAGATACAGAGTGCATTCAGTTTTCTGTGAGACCATAGTGAATTTGAACACTGTAGTTTCAGTTTATCATACAATGGCAAGGAAATGTTGTTTGGAAGATGATGAAATTGAAAGGCAGTTGAAAGGCAAGATATGTGATGTGGGACTGTGCTCTCTTGGTTGCTTCAAGGAGTATTACACAAAGGCGAGATTCAGTTATATGAAGCAGGGGTTGAAGCCTGTATATATGTCGAGCAGATAACAACGAAAAATGTATGTATATTGAATTTTACTACATTTAAAAATAAATATTTAGGATTGTGCATACGCTTCTACTAGCAGAGTTTAAATGTCCAACTGCCCAATTCGGGGTACTTTGGCCACGTTGACCATACTCATCACTGGGCAGATGGGGGCATTTCGAACGTTAAAGGTTAAAGTTTACGCACAGCTGCAATTGTTGAATGAAAAACTGCCCAGATCATCAAATTACTCGCAGAACTTGGCAGATTTGTTCTCCTGACCTCACACTGCTGAATTCATTTTTGTCAGAAATTCTGACGGGCATTGTGTACCATGATGTTCCAACAACATTGGAAAATATGTGGCAATACATTATTGGTAAATGTGCTGCCTTGAATCCACAAGTAACTGAATGATCCAGGCAGACACTCCTCAAGTGACTGCAACTCTCCATTAACTTCAATGGTCAACACCTCGATCACCTTTGTAAATCCTTTTGTTGGCTTAAAATACCAAATTATTCAGTCTGGCTGATAATTCAAATATTTGATTTCTGATGCATACTGTTATGCTTTATTATAATCAGAATGGTACTATGTAATAATATTTCTGAATCAATCACATACAAAAGAAAGGGTGCCATTTACAAGTGCTAGTGACCTTGATATCTCTAACAAAAAATGTTTTAAATAAACAGTATAGGTCTCATGTGCCTCCACTGGAACAAAAAACCTTTATCAAAATCTTTTATTCACTGTTAAATATGAGTTATATCAAAGTGAGCATCAGAAATGGGACATACTGTACATAGTGTTATTTCGGACATCACACTGAAAATGCAGCCTGTTGTCATATTATGCTCAAAATACAGTAACATAAGAAAGGGATGAAACAGGCTTATTTATAGTGCACACAAAGCATTCTTTGCTCTAAAATAAAAACTTAAATTCATGCTATAGCTAAATAAGATAAGTTCACTGCAATTACCGATTCTAATGTGTTCATATCTTGCATTATGTAATCTTGATTCAATGGAGAAAAATTATCATCATATACCTTGGAATAATTCAAAATATTAAAACATTTTAAGAGTCTAAAGAAGTGTGCATGAGCGTGGGTGACCCCAAGGTCAAACTTCCACTTTTTTATATTTCCATGTTTTCACATTTTGTAATCTAATTGTATAAGAGGGATAATTAAGTGACACTACATTCCTAAATGTGTGGAGATAGTTTACTTTATAAAAGAAGTTTATCTGAAAGGTTTTATGAAGCATACACAAGTGCTTATATTAAAAATAAAACACTTTTCTATATTTGGGGATAGATGAATAATAATAATAACTTTTAGTCTTTTCCAATTTTCCATCTACCTTGTGGTTTAGGAGATAAAATTATATTAGACTTTTTTTAAACACCGTGTCTAGTATGCACAATTATGCAATATTTTTGCCTTTTATAACAGGTTTATGTAAACAAATATATTTGTTAATGTCAATTTTGTCTCTAACTCATGTTATAAGGTGCAAAAAAACCGATGCACATCTGAAAAAATCAATGGGATTTTAACCCATAACACATTCTTGGATTACAGTTTGTACCCATGCAAATACAGAGTGTGTTTCATGACTTTATGTCAATACTACAGGAGCTTACTCCTGACACCATTCCCGTTTCCAATTCTCAACAGTAACAGATCTATGGGTATTTGAAGTTCAAGAATATGTTACATATAACTAAGCTGTTTTGAGGTGCAAGTTCTTACATTGTACAGTTCATTTTAAATTCATATTTGCAGTGACCACCTCCAGCTGTGCTATATACTCAGACTCACTTTCCTACTGAATGTGCAACCCTATCAAGAACTGCAGTATCCTTTACACACCATGCAACTTCTAAAATTTTACATACTTTGATAAAGATCATTTTTTTGATATACTATTTTAGAATAGGATGCAAATTGTCCTCTATTTAATTTGCTTCCTTGTACTGAGTGCATGTAGTTAAAACCCCAACATGTTTCGGTCACACAAGATCAATTTCAGTGGGTGTACTATATCAACAGGAAACTTTACAATTCACACACACATAAAAAATAAATATATTTAAAATATATGTATTTAGGATTTCTTATAAAAGGGCAAAACTAATATTATGCTAAAATTTACATATGAGCCATTTATCTTTAAAGTGGTACATGTCACTTTATTCCTTTTTGAAATAATATTGACTTTCACATTTCAGTCTACAAAAAATGTTGATAAACGCTATGTAGTTTTTATATTTATGTGATCTTCAGCAGATATACTTTTATTTAATCAATTATATGGAATACTAATAATTTTTTCACATACAAAGTGACATAAACCACTTTCAAAATGAACAAACCGTCAAAAATATCAGTTCAATCATATTTATATTAGGGTTTAGATTAAAAGACACTATTAATTTTGTGATTTATAGAGATTTTATAATAATGGTTTACACTGTATTTATTGTATATCAATTTTGAAAAATTATAAACCAATTTTCACCATCAACCACAATCAGGGTACTTTCTTTAACATCCAAACTGCCCAGGCAAAGGTTCTTAAAATTTATATGTCAGCATCCCACTTGCATTCTGTTACCAGCTGTGAATAAGCAGTCTCAACACTAACTTATAATTAGACTAAAACGTTTAATTATTGCTTATTCAATGCGTGTTTCAGCCATTTTGCAGTCGTCATCAAGTGAATCACATTTACATTAATGCAAGGCAAAATTATTATGCATGATCTGTATTGCAAACACAGCATAAATAGCGTAAAATGCTAAGTGAAAAGTTCCGAGTAAAATACAATAAAAGTTGGGCAATTATAAATACAACATACAAAGATCAAAATAGAATTATATATACATGCAGAACCATGCATGAACTCCAAGAATTTATAATATAAGGTACCCTTCTGTTTTTTCTCATTCTCCTTCTCAGTAGCTTTGTTACCGGAGTTAATCTGCACGGGTATCATCACAGAATTATTGTTCAAAGAGGCTGAAACATTGTTCTCATCTAATGATGAGAATTCCAAAATTCTTAGTCTTTTTTCTGGTATTTAATTGCTTCTACGTTAATTAAGGAGTAACATGCAAAATTTGAATGATATTAAGTTGATTAAAAGAAAGACATTAAACACTGTTGAAGTGTTTCGATAACACAGTCTAAAAAGTCAGAATTATTTTATTTCTTTATTTACCTGAATCAGTCTGTTATAAGACGCTCATCAACATTTAGAAATATGTATTTATCAATTAAAAATCTATTAAATTATTTATGTAATTGTACAAGAAACACGATTTAAGAGCACACCACTGATGTGACTTATTTAACTTTCAAAACGAAATCTGTGCTCCCATCTTCACACAGAATTCCTAAATAAACTTCGCAAACTCTTGTTTTAAATACATACATGATCAATATATATGTGTATCAAATACATACTCAATTTTAAAAAATCTGGCTTACACCGTTTCCAAAATAAATTGTTCATATGTAAGCTGTAATTCAGTTGATTGTGGAGTGTCGTACTATGCTGTTGTTGTTTCATACTCGTCGTATGGATGTCGAAGCGATGGAGGAAACTTATCACATGAACATTTTAAATCTTTTATTTTTTGTGCGTACAAATTGTGAAGTTTCCCTTTAATATGGTATGATCCCTGAAGATGGTCTCATGTGACTGCAGCATGTTGGAGTCTCAACCACATAAAATCACTACACGGAAGCAAACTGCATATACCTAAATGGTAATTAACATCTTGGTCTAAAATTTGTTGGTTCATCTATACAGTTTGCTATGCATTCATATGCTAATTCTTTCATTACACATTCAATAGGAAAGATTGCTATTAGAACATTTAGTGTAAGATGAACTGTAGAACATAAGAATCTGTTCATGAAAACAGTTTAGCTGCACACAAATCATTCCTGAACTCCAATTTTTTCTTGTGATCTACTCTACCTCTCAGTATCTATCAGTGGTAGGGTAAGCATTAAATAAAGAACTTAAATTGATTTAAACACAAGCAGTCATGGCATAATCAAGGTACTATCCCAAAGAGACTGAGAAAAACCACAAAATACCTCAGTCAGAACACTTGAGTGTCACAGACAAGATTCCAACCGAGTACTGGTACATGAACCTACTCAGTCCATTCCTGAACTTCACAGCCCCACACCACTAAGAAATGAAACTTTGTTCACATAAGACTTCTAACTAGAAATGATCTTCAGAATAAGATCTTGAAGTACTGACATAAGACATGAAATATGTGTGTGTGCACATACATTCATGATACAAAGCCTTTCAGTGTTGGTGAAGTGTAATGCACAGCTACTGAGAAATGGGAAATGCTGTCACCAAATGTGACTTAAATTTCACCCCCTTTTCCCCAACTTTTCCAGTTGCAATTTTCTCCATTTAACATTCTCATAAACTGATTGAACCTCAGGGGTAGAATAATCAAACACTGAATAATACATAAAATGCATAATTAATCTCAAGAACAATAATAATGGACAGCTTCCTGTAGCACATGGTGTCAAGAACGATTCAAATTGAATTACATAAAGGTTCTCTTGGAATTTGGTGATATAATGTCATTGCACAACACAAGGTATCTATCCATCATGTGTACATGTAAATAACAATGGAAAAAATGCAAATATTTCCTACCTTAATTTTGGATTTCTCCTTCTTTTCCTTATCTTTATCTTTATCCTTATCTTTCTCTTCAGCTTTCTCCTCATTTCCTTCCTTCTCCTTCTCCTTTTCCTTATTTTTATCTTTGTCCTTTTCTTTGTCCTTCTCTTTCCTCTCATTTTCCTTCTCTTTTTCTTTCTTATCTTTATCTTTTTCTTTCCTTTCTTTCTTTTCCTTTTTGTCTTTGTCCTTCTTATCTTTCTTGTCCTTCTTTCCTAGTGGTGACTTCTCTTCTGCCGAAGTATTGATTACAGAGTCATCATTAATTAAGTCAGTTGCACTTTCATTATTCAAGTCGTTTCGATTTTCTTTCTCCTCCAGAAGATCCTTTCCAACATCCTTATCTTTATCTTTATCTTTATCCTTGTCCTTGTCTTTCTTCCTGGACTTGCCAAAATTCAATGCTCCTGGTGGCAGTACTGCTACCCCACCCACAGGTTTCTGTTGAAAAGATAGAAGTAGTTACATAAATACCATTCTTTATTTAAGGCCCATTTAAGAAACAGAATAGGAGGAAACACGTAATTTTCTAGTCATCGGCCACAATTTTGCATTTCACATGAAGAAGAAGACTTGTTAAGCCAAGATTATTAAATATAACAGAAAATATATTTTGCTTGAACTTATATACAGGGTGTCCCAGGAGGAATGGACCAAACTTCGGGAGGGTGTTCCTTATGTTAAAGTATGCCGATATAACCCAAAACACCTATGTCCAAAGTTGAACGGTTACGGAGATAATGGCCCGAGAAAAGTGTGGTCTTCTGGCAGGTCCACGCACT